CAATGTTCAAGTACCAGGAAGGCAGTAAGGCAGGAGGGGTTCCCTCTTACTCTCAGAAGGATCAGGCTTTTTGTTCTATTTAGGATGTAAACTGATTAGGTGAGGCCCACCCACGCTAGGGATGGCAATGTGCATTACTCAGCCAATTTACTCATTTATTATATTTACTCATTCGGATGTTCATCTCATCCAGAAACACCCTCACAGACACACCCTGTGAAAACAGTGGTACCCTGTTGCCCAGTCATGTTGTCACATAAAACCAGCACAGCTGGCACAGAAGACCCTTCATTGTGTCGCCAGAAGAGATCAGGTCAGCTGCAGTTTCTCATATAACTCCTCCCTTCGGCCATCCACAGCTAGCTTTATTTCCTTCAAAGCATCTTGATGGTTTACATCCACATGTTTTCACAGATGTTTTTTTCTCTGCTTCAATGTCATCATCCATGTCTCTGAGTTTGAGTTCCCCAAGAAGCAGATCCTGAAACAAGGATTCAAGCAGAAGTAATTTAGGGGGAGGTGATCCCAGGAAACACCAGTAGGGGAAAGTGGAGGAGTGAGACAGGGCAGGGAAGGAAGGCAGTAAGGTTCAGCTATAAGCCAGTTACCACTGGCCAGCCAGGGCTCAATCCCAATGGGAAGGGGGAGACTCAGGGAGATGGTGCAGAACATGCTTCTGAATTAGGCCACCTGAGCAGCAAGGGAGCTGGGGTACATGTATCCTGTTAATCATTTCTGAAAGCCAACCCCTGAAGGGTGTGCATTCCCTGATATTTCTTGAGTAGGTTCCAGCAACCAGAGAAAGCCCTCAGGCAAAGAGACCCAGGAGCTGGTGGCTGAAAGCCAGGCTGGCATGTACCGAAGTGTCTAGGAACAAGGGGGTATAGGTAGGCAACCCACATCTCCTGAGCATCTACTCCAGCCTTTCTTTCCCCCTAGATAACTTCAACTCACCCTTTAGGACTCAACTGAAGCCTGTTTTCTTCTGGAAATGTCTCCTAGACCTTCTCTCCGCCTTAGCTGGCTCTTGCCTGTTTCCCAACAGAACCTCTGTTTCCCTCCATCAGAGAATCTGTTAACTCTTGTTCTATTTTACTTTTCTGAATCATATACTTTGTGAGCTTTTTGAGGGAAGGGATTGTTAATCTGTATCTTTAAGGCCTAGCATAGTTTTTGCACATGCTAGCATTCAATAGATGGTTAAGTAGCAAAAGTAGTACTAATACATCCTAATAGCAAGAATCACTGTTTATTGCATGTTCATTCTATGTAAGCACTTTACATATATTACCAACCCTAGGAAGCTAGTAATTTCATTTTCCCTATTCTTCAGATGAAAAAACTGAGGTGTAGCTTCTATGTCATGTAGGAGCCAAAACAAACTTCCACTTCACCCTCTGAAGGTTCATTGAAAATCAACTGATAAAAGGCAGATTAGTGAGAGAAATGACATATAAAATTATTTTAAATGCCTAAGTGTGGTAGGAATCACATTAGAATGACTACCAAATAACCCAATGGGTACAAAAGCTTATATATTCTTCTTCATAGGGGAGAGAAAAGATGGAGAAAGTAGATAGTTTTTTAAAGGGCAATAAATGATTACTGGGGAGAGTGAATGGACACAGAAGACAGAAATTCAATTTGTCAATGATTCTCTTTGGAATTTCAGCCCAAGAGGCAGACACTATCTTACCAAAAGTATGTTCAGGTGTGGTTGAATTCCTCAGTATTTTCTGCAATAGATAATGATATTTCAGGGAGGAGGTGGAAAGCACTGTGTTCCCCTTGGTAGGTCCAGTTTCAAGGTAGATAAGGGGAACTTCAAAGAAAAGCCTCAGCCTGTGCTTTGAAAGAAGAAACAGAGGATTGACAGATAGGACTTTGGGGTAAGAGAGGACTTGATGCTGCTGCTTTAGTTCAGCCATATTTTGGAATGAAGCATTCTTGGTCTTCTCTTAGCACAAGATTGTGTAGTTATCTGTGGCTTAGCCTAGAAGTAAACCCCAAGCAGTCTGAGTCCAGATCCTGCAGAGACTTTTAGCCAGTATATGCATTAATCAGTACATGAATGACATGAATGAATGGAATGGATGGATGAATGAATGAGTAAAAGCACCAAGTCTGATCCTTCAACACACCAGAGTCATTCTGGGGATGATGGTCTCAGGACAGTCTATAAAGTTCAGATATCAGCTCTAGTGTCTTGTTTTCCAGGAGCCCTTCCCAGTAGCCTAACTGGAAGCATAAGTCTCTTGTCTGACACCTTTACAATGGCACTGACTACTCTACCATATGTTGGGATTTATCTACATGTTTTAGTTTCCTAATTACTGACAAGATTCTAGACAGCTGCTTATGTGTCTATTCACCTTGGTGTTTTCTACAGGCACAAAGCCTTGCACACAGTAGGCTACCAATGAGTATTTGCCAAATGAACAAATGGAAACGTGGATGACGAGCAAAGGGATCTTTATTCATCTTTTATTTTTTCACAAAAACTTTGAAGACTCTTTTTCACCCCTCTCTGAGATTCCAGAGAATCTGTTGTCTTAGAGATTTTTGATATTTCTGGAAAATAAAATTCTGTTTAAATCTATTATGTTCTGGGAAGAATCTGTGAAGAGTTTACTTAGTAACATTTTGATGATCATTTCGTTAGAAAATTATATTTCTGAGAAATTGATATTCTTTCTTCCAAAATTGCATTCATAGAATGTATAAAAGGAATGTATAGAAAACCACCAATGTTTTGAATATATTTGGATGTTTACTGTTTTAGAAGCTTATTTCTTTAAAAGCCAGCAAGAATTAGCTTTCTAAAACCTCAAATTACAGGCATTTTTCATTTCCTCTGAGTGCTATATTTTTAATATTTATCAATATCCAACATACTGAATAAATTTGGCTAAGAGATGACTAAATTGTAAAGCAAATATCTAGGAGGAAGTTACAAAATGTTCACTGATTTGTCATTATTTACAGAGCATAATATAGACCCAAGGTGTCCTAATATGTATGAGATACATAGGAAATAATAAAAATTTAATTCAGTGGAAGTTTCTTTATTGATTCTAAAGCATATAAAATAAAAGGCATTAAGTGCCAGGGAATGCAAAGGAAGATAAGGCATGGTCTCCATCTTCATAGCATTTATGATCTGAAGCTGAACATATGGAAGACAGATACATTAGCAAGTAACTAGACTGTGGGATTTTATGGTAATAGTTAATATTTAGCACTTAATGATGTTGTTTCAGTAGCTGTCTTAGTACTTTATATGGCATTATCTCATTTAATCCATATAATACCTCTATGTAGTAGACATTATTATCATCCTACTCTATTGCTGATGAACTTGAGACTCAGGAAGATTAGGTAACTTCCCCAAGATCACACATCTTGGGAATGGGCAGGTGGAAGGGCTGGTCTGCACACCTAAGCCCACAGGTCCTTAAAGTTCATATTCAGAAGGCAGTAAAAATAAGGTACGTCAAAGAGAACATGATTCATTCACACTTGGATCCTGTGGGTGGTGTGGCACCTAAGCTTGGACTTGAAGCAAGAGGTGAATAGCGATGGAGAAGGGCATTGCTGGCATTGCCTGGAGAGAGGAGGCTGAAGGGGACTCTGAGAGAACAGATAAGAGTCAAGTGCTGCCATCCCTGTCGGTGGTGGCATGCGTGCGACAGGAGGTGAGAGTGAGAAAATTGGTACCACTGGCCTTGAATGTTACCAGGAAGAGTCTAGAGTTTTCTCATTAGGCAGAGGGCAGTCACTGAACCTTTGTGGACCAGATCAGAGCAGTATTTTAAGATCGATTTGGCAGCCACATGTAAAAGGAATGGAAGTCAGGAGGGGAAAGAGAGAAACATTTAGAAAACTACTAAAAAAGCTAAGGCAAGTGGAACTGGGAGTGTGATTCTGGATGACAGTAATGTGGGGAGAGAGGTGCAAATGTAGAAACACGACAAGATTTGGCACTGACTGATGTTTTAGTCCATTCCTACTGCTGTAACAAAGTATCCTAGACTGGGTGGCTTACAAACAACAGACATTTCTTTCTCACAGTTCTGGAGGCTGGAAGTCCAAGATCAAGGCACTGGCAGATGGGGTGTCTGGTGAGGGCCTACTTCCTCATAGACAGAATCTTGTCCCTGTGTCCTCACATGGCAGGAAGGATGAGGGGTCTCTCTCGGGTCTCTTTTGTAACAGCCCTAATCGCAGTCATGAGGGCTCCACCCTCACGTACTAATCATCTCCCAGCGGTCCCACCTCCTCATACTGTCACCTTTGGGTTAGGATTTCAACATATAAATTTTGGAAGGGACACAGACATTCAGACCACAGCACTGGATATGGGGAGCTTTCAAAGAGAGAGATGACAGTGTGTCAAAAGCTCAAAAGAGCAAGCATGTCCTCTGTAGTCCAGAGGAATCAAGTGTCCCTGTCCAGTTAAAACGAGGGTATACTAGGAGATGAAGCAAGTTAAGTCGAAATGGTACAACTGGTGGGGTGTCTTGAAAGCACATGATTAAAAGATTAGGTTACTATATGTAGCAAAGCAGCACTTTTCATGGTGCAGGGCAGGGATTTTACATGTGTTGGCGTACAGCCAAATAATGATGTCCAAGTAACCATGCATACCTTTAACAAACAGAAAATGTGGCATTTAAAGTCTGTGATTTTTAAGTTTGAGGAGTTGAAATGACTGAAGTGGCCTTATATAACTTGTATAAGCAAAGCAAATTATTGCATATATAGTTTGTTATAAATATATAATCTTTTAAAAAGAAAACATAAATCCCAGGTGTTATATTATGCTCTAATGTGTATACTTTTTTTCCTAATTCAGAATAATTTAAGACAACAGAAATGCATGCTTTAATAGTCTGTTTTCTACTAAGATTATTTTTCTTTTGATTTTTCTTATACAATTTTATGAATTCTGGTGTTTCCCACTTTCATACAAGTCTTTCTCTTTTTCTGTTTTTTAATAGATGATAATAATGAAGAAGAAGACATTGAAATGAAAGAAGATTCAGGTACTAATTTTATTATTAATACTTTATTGCTTGGGAGTAAGCAGGGATCATTTTGTTGTTTATGTACACCTCATTTCTTTTTTCAAGGAAAGACAAAATAAAGTTAATAAAACAGAAGTATATGCTCAATGTTGTAAAATAAGGAAGAAGAAGTGCTAACTCTTAAGGTTCATGCAATTACTATATGTAAACATTACATTTGACTTTGAGCTTCCTGACAGCTAAGGTAAAAATGGAACATGATGTCGTAGTTAACAAAGTTGTATAAACTCATCCCCAAAACTTAGAGGCTTAAAATAACCACTTATTAATGCCCATATAGTCTGTGGGTGAGACATTCAGACAGAGTACAGCAGCAATCATTGAATCTCCCTGTTTCTGTTTCACAAGGTCTGGGGTTCAGCAGGAAGACTCAACAGCTGGCAGCAGGAAACATCTGCAGATTCACTCACTTGTCTGGCTGGCAGTTGATTCTGGCTGTCAGCTGAAAGCATAGCTGGGCAAGTTTTTGAAACATTTGTACATGGCCTCTTTATGTGGCCTGGGCTTCCTCAAAGCATGGTGGCCAGCTTCCAGATAAGTGTCTCTTGAGAGAGTGAGCGAGCCTGGGAGAAGGTACATCCTGTTTAAAAACCAGGCTTAGGTGTTCCATAGTATCACTTCCACCTACGTCTGTTGTTTGGAACAGTCACAAGGCCACCCAGATTTAGGGGAAAATGAAATGGACTCATTCTTCTTGATGGAGAATGAGTCTTCAGAGCATGTAAGACCTAAAATATTGCAAGTCCATATTCGGAAAATGCACTTCTCACATATATTACTCTCATTGTCAGAAATTAAGATGCATGCCCACTCCTCAAGAAATCCCAGTGTTTATGAGAGAAATGTAGTGGGGAAAAACATGAGTTCTGGCCCAAGGTAGCCACTCAGTATGCCCTTAATAGTGAATACATGAATCTAAAGATATGAATTCAATTCTAGCTCTGCCAATTATTGACCTTGGGCAAGTGTCTTTTTCGATAAGCCTCACCTGATACTTCGGGGGCAATAATTTTTACCATGTAGTTTCATTTAGGGGATTAAATAAAATACCTTACCTGAAATGTTGCACACAGTGCTTGGACCATAGTACATGTTAACTAAATCATTGCTTTTTTTTCTCTCTGTCATTTCCACATACTGGAAAAATATAGGATTTCATTCTATGGTTCAGAGCTCCATGGTCTCCATTTCAGCAATCACACTGCTCTAGCCATGAAATGGGGCCAGGTTTCAAAATTAAAATAGGTATCTCAGAGGTCCTAATTTTGTGTTACCTGTCATTTGATGCCAAACCCCTTACAAACCACTGACAACCTCAGTCTGAACAGCTCCATTAACAGTGAGCTCTTTAAATTCTGTTGCAACTGATCTCCTTAGGGAAGGTTTGGTTGAAATGGTCCTTCTCAAGTTAAATCTCTGTCCTTCCTCTGACCACCCACTGTCTCCATAGAGAAATAATACCAGTTCCTTTTCTTCATAAAAAGTCATTGAAACAATGATTGTAGCTTCTCTTTAACTCTTCTTCAATCTGAACATGTCTGATTCCTAAGGTGCCCTTGGTCTTCCCAAATGCAGTAAATTCAGAGGACACGAGATGTAGAGGAAAGTTGTAAAAAGCAACAATGAAGGAGGTGGAAAAGGAAACTGTAGCAGCCGCTGTCGGTGCATTCTTTTTTTTTTTTTTATTTCATCATATGGAGGTACAAATATTGTTAGGGTTACAAATATTGTCAGTGCATTCTTCACATTCCCTTAGGCACTCGCTGTTGTCTCGCAATACCAACAGTTTTCCAAGGAAAGTTCTTATGACTTTGGTCCTGGAAGCAAACTCAAAGTACCAGGGATTTAAGTTCTCTGGAGCAGATGTCAACCAATGATGAGCAAGAGTTGGTTGATCAATGTGTAGGACACATCTGAGTCATGTTCTATTTCAGTGCTGTCCAAAAAACATAATGTGATCCTCAAACATGAGCCTCGTGTATACTTTTGGATATTTTAGGAACCACATTGGAAAAAGGAAAAAGAAACAAGTGAAACCAATTTTAATATTTTGTGTAGCATAATAATCCAAAATATTTTCATTTCAACCTATAATCAATGTAAAAATTATGTGTTTTAAATCCTTTTTTCCATACTAAGTCTTTGAAATTGGTGAAATTGATATGTGTAATATTTTACAGATACATCTCGATGTAGACTAGCAAATTTCCACTACTTTAAAGCAATATGTGCCTAGTGGCTACTGTCGTGGACAGCGTGATTCTCTACCATTGCCCAGAGGTCCCCAAGAGAATGAAGTCCCGATTGCCAACAGTGGAACTTACTCAATAACAACACCCAGTCTTGGCAGCCTTTCTTTTCCTGTCTCACTTCCTACTCCCCTTCTGGTGTATCCTGGGATCATCTCTCAGATTAACTATTTAACACCCGAACCTTTGTCTCAGTGTTTGCTTCTCAGAGAGTCTGCACTAAGACAAGGACTCTGCTTGCCTTTTGTAGACATAAAGCCCAAGGGAAAATTTTAATTAAAATTTCAATTCCTATACCCATGTAGAATGTCTGATTTTTAAAAAGAACCACATTTTAAAAAGACTTTAAATGATCACCCTGTCTTGAATTACCTTCCACACATTGAATGTTCGGCTTGCCATTTTCATTTATCCTGCTCACATGAAGCACCCTTGGAATATCCTTGGCTCATGAGGGGCACTGCCCTCTCAGCCAGCCAGTCTAAGGACCTTATCTTGCCATGGATCATTTGCCTAAGTGCCATAGGTACACATTTCTAGACTTCTTAATGGGTCCAAACCACTGAGTGATTTTAAGGAAATCATTATTAGTGCTAACGCAGAGTCCACAAGGGTTGGAGTCAGCATTTGAGGTTTGGCGGCATTAATTGGATCATCATTTCCGATTTTAGTTCCACCAGGTTTCCTGGGAGTTTTGTCTCCAGCAGCTGGATGCAGCTGTTCAAATCACACTCTGTGGCTCAAGGATGCTAAGCCGCTCAGGCTGAAGGGGCTTGGGAAGCTACTCTCTGTTTCCTAATAGCTGAGTGCTGAAATCACGGGGGATTTTTGCGCTAAATGGTTCCATCGTACGCCAGCTGGCCTCACCAGACATTAGTGTGCAAGATGGCTTCGTTCAGATCTCACACTCGAGAGTGTTGGTCTCCAAGATGAGTCTGAACTAGCCTTCTTAGAATCGGGAACTACTGACGTCCCTGGCCCTACATCAAAGCTGGAGGGACTTTTAAGAATGCAATTGACTGACATGACTAAAAGGGCTATTTGAGTGAATCAACCTGCCAGCGAATGCTAGTGAGTACTAGCGAGTGAACAACAGCTAAAACCAGTGGTGTGCTGGTAAATTGACTCTCTGGGTAGGGAGAGCCCAGATGTGGAGAGTCAGCAGTTTTCTGTAGTTTGATACTACAGATACTACACATTGACCATGGTCGTTTTCATGCTACCAAATGTGAGGTCAGTGGACGGGACGTGTGAGCTGGGGAGAGATGGTATAATGAGTGGGTGTGAGCTGGCTCTAGTCAGCCCAGCGCAGCTCTGCCGAGCCAGACTTTAATCAGGGCTGCTCTTTGTGCCAATCACTCGACATGCATGAACTCATTGAATACACACAGCAATTCTTCGAGGCAGGGACTGTTATTATCCAGGCTTAAGAGGGATTAGTTCCTTGTTTAAATAGTAAAGCCAGAATTTGAATCCAGGTTTGCCTGACCCAAAGGCTGATGACTTAATTTTCTTGCTCCTGTCTCTAAATGTTTATAATAAGTAGTGGCAAGAGCGTCTCAGATGGTGTCAGACAAGGTCTTCCTCAAGGTGAGGCTCTGCCTTCACGAGAGGTGGAAGAAGCAGGCTGGCTTAAACGCCTAGAATTCCTTTTGAAGTCCTTTAATCATCTTTAATCGTGGCATGGCAGATGTTTCCCCTGTCCTTTCATTTCTGTGATTATGCACAATTGAAATTAGCTCCGCTCTGAGCCAGCAGAAAATCAGCAATATCACCTATGGCCACTCGGCCACATCAGAGCTGGGTGCACAGCTTAGTTCCTCAGGGGCGAAGCCATGCTCATGGCATAGCTGCAGGTTTCCTCCCTATACCAGAAACAGAAGCAACCTAGAAAAAGATGATTCATTTTCTTGGAGAAGCATGGGGTGCTTTCAACAAGAGACAGGAACCTCCCTCTCTTTAGCTCCCCGACACCAAGAAGGAGAGTTTGTTCCTCCCAAGCCACAGATACAAAGCTGAGCACAAGGGCCATTATGTATCAGGGCCTTTCATTTGAATGTCCCAGAACACTTTACCCAAAAGTGTCATGAGATGAAACAGTACTATGTCACAGATGATTGTTTGTAATTAATATGTGTCCATGCGCATTGACTACCCAAGGAGTGCCCTACAACTGTTTCAGAAATGAAATATTAATACTTGTTGGGTGCTTCAGTGTCTCAAAATGGACAAAGAGATGTCTTTTTAAATCGTAGCCACTCCCCAGCAATTTCCATTGAGGTGGGAAATTAAGACTTAGGAATTTAGTGCACGAAAACTCACTTTTAAGAAATGCCGGTTTAAAGTTGAATTTCCAGCGTTGGAAACCCTCCTCTTGTTCCCAGCTGCAGAGGACACATTTCAGGGGCGTGGAAAGGGTCAGTCTTCTCCCAGCGAAGACTGCAAATGTCGCTCTGCCCGTTGTACGTAGCCTTTCGAGCCCAGCACTTGCACTCGGTGAGCTGTTCCAAGCTTCTCATTTCTGTTTTTGCTGAACCCATTCCGAGGGTCAACATCCATCTCACACCTGGTGACAGAAGTTTGGGGGAGTTGCTAATGTAGTCGTTGGCAAAATTTTTCACCCTGGCCGTGGTAATGACCTTAGACACGACTGACTTGCAACCACAGAAAGCCTAGCCTCGTGCCCAAAGCTTTGCGGTCTATAATGCCAATGTTTTTAATAGCACATCTATCAAATACGTGTGTTTTTTTTCTTTTGTTGTTCCGTTCCTTTTTTTAATAAAGAGGAAATGAGTGAGTCGCCATAGCTCTGTAGTGTAATTTCAGAATCTTGGCATGAGGCGACAGCTGCTAAGAAAGTGAGAATTAGGCATGGGCCCCATTGTATCTTGGCCTTAAAGAAAGGCCTGGGGGAAGCGAAAATAACATAGAATTTGAAATGAAATTCTCGAGGCACTGCTAGGCACCAGGCATACAAGAGGGATTAGGCAAGACAAGTGCCCTTTTCTCATGGAATTTACATTCCTGGAGGGTGGCGTGGAGAAGAGGGGTCATGCAATAAAGAAATACACGAGAGAGCAAGATACTTTCAAGATGCAAGGGATGTATTTGAGGGAGATTTCCTCTGTGGTGACTCTTTAGATTAGATGGTCAGGGAGGGCCTTTATTCGAGTTGAATTTCATCTGAGCTTCAGAGGTGAGTGGGTGGCAGACATATGAATGTATGTGTTGGGGGGTGGGGAGACAAGAGCAGGGGCAAAGGTCCTGCGGCAGGAACCTACCCAGCAATGACAGGATCACAAAAGGACCTGATAAACCCACAACCAGAGTGAGTGGGTGATGAGGCTAGAGTAGCAGGTAGGGCCCAGATGGCATATTGGGCCAGGCCACGGCATTGGATCTGGATCTTATCCTAAATAATGGTTTTTAAATAGGCAAGCAACATGATCTGGTGTGTGTTTTAGAAGATCACATTGCCTGCTGTGTGCTTAATAGAACATAGGGAGCAAAGAGTAGAAGCAGAGAGATTAGAAGCCTGGAAGTTAGAATTTAAGAGGTTGGTTACTGTAGTAACCAGGCAAGAAATGCTGCTGGTCTAGGCTAGTGTGGTAATTATAAAAGTTGAGCACAGCAGATGAATATGGAATATATTTTAGAGCAAATCTGATAGGACTTGTGATTTCTTAGACAGGACAAGTAAATTAAGAGAAATATTGAGGATGACATCTCAATTTTTGGTTTAAGTTTCTGGGTATATAGTAATACTATTTCTCGAGATGTGTAATACTATAGAGAGAACGGGTTTGTAGACATCAAGTAGGGAGTTCTGGCTGGTGTTAAGTTTGAAATGCTTAATGGGATCATTTACAAAAATTCAAAATATACTGATAGGAGTTGATTGAGGGGAAGCTATTAGGGCACAGTTAATTCCTAGTCCTGTAGGGACAGTGGGGAGGTGGGTAACTATAGAACCCAAGAAACTTAGAGGGCCACGTGGAGAAGGCCAGCTGATAAGTGCTGTAAGCGTAGATTGAGAGGCACAACTAGCCCAGGAAGACTAGCAGGTGCCTGGGAACTAAATACCCTGGGCTACCCTTTGGCTGAATATAACAGGAAGCCAGAGAACCAGGAAATTCATTAGCATAGCCCAGAGTCCAGCATCCCAGAGTGTAATGGGGGGGGGGGTGAAGGCTAGAAAGCTGATCTAGAGGGGCAAACAGAAGACAACAAGTCCCAAATATGCCATGTAGGCAGTTGAAGTCATGGCCTTAAGCTCAGGGCTAGCTCTAGAAATTAATGCCTGAAAAAGTATACTGCATAAGAATGAAATGAATTTAGAGATACTTTCCTAAAACTGTCTTCACAATTTATTAGCCCCCTTGGATAGACCCAGAGGGGCAGTGGGGAAAATGGGAAGCAGAGTAATTTAATTGAGGACATAGGGAAGTTGTTTAGGATCTTGATGACTAAAGAAGTTTGTTAAACAGAAGCAAGTTAATTTCTAGACCTATCCCAGCCCCCATTTATCTAGCCCACTTTGAGGACTAAGTAAGATGAAATTGCATAGTGACTATTGTTGATTAATCCATGAAATTTGAAATCAAACTTTCTTAGAGAAAAAATATTAGCAGGGTTCCCTTATGGATAATTTCTGAGTTAAAAAAGAAAGAACTTGCGTAAGATGTAATGTTTATGTGAATCATTAATAATGTCTACAAAACTGTTCTAGCTTTAGCCTTAAGTGTAAGTCTTTGTAGGTTGGGGAATCACAGGTCCTTGCCAAAATTTAGCTCAGCCTTGATGACAGATGAATCTGCAATTAAGATTCAGTGTCTGTGTGGGTTTACTAAGAAGAAAACAGTTTTAAACTTCAACATAATTTTGAACCCTAGTGGTAAATATTTAAATAAGAATGTATTAAATTTTTGTACTTCCAGAGGGTTTAGAGCCAAAAGGCCTCTCTCCGCCCCACAAGAAGAGCAAAGCAAAGAAGCCAGAAAGTTCGAAAGACTCTAGTGAAGGTAAGTCTTATCTCTCCTTCCTTTAGAAAATTATGCCATGAAAAAAAAAAAAACCCTAAATTTTAAATTATGCATATGCTCTCATGTTCAGATATTCCTAAGGGTTAAAATATCACAGAACAATTCTTTTATGTTTTTCTAATATGTTTATAGATGAAAAATCAGATTCAGGTTTATTTCATTAAGGAAAAAAAACAAATTTAAAAAATCGATTTTCTCAGTGTGATGTATTTTCCATTTCTGTAAAGTGAAAAATTGTCAGTTGTGCTTACAAGTTATGTGTTCTAAAACCATGTGAAAGGTGGAGGTCGAGATCTACGTGTGATGACCTGACCAGTGCTGTGCCTATTGGCTTTGGGGGATAATTTGTTTTTCTGATGAACACATTTTGAGTCTTTTCAGATTCAGACCTCAACAGTAGATGCTGAAAATGGCTACTGTCTTTAGCATTCTCTTACATTTTCTAGACTGCAATGTGTTTTTGCATTTTTGATTGAATGGGCAGATCCAATGGGGCTCCGTTTTATGAACAAATGACACTGTCTCTCTTTACAACACTAGTACATTCCAATTTTCATTTAAAATGTAGATGAGGTATTTTTTTCAAGTGAACCTCACACCTAAGAGTATGTGTAAACCTCTAAAAGGGAACGTATTTTATGTTTTCTACTCTCTTGCCTGGAGCCCAGCTTCCCCCACTGTGAAATAAAGAGTATAAAAATACTGATGGGTGTCGGTTTGGGTTTTGAAGGAAGAAGATGCCAAGATGCAAGTAGCAGTGTAGGAAATTTACAGGAGCGAGCCTGTGATGCATACAGGGCAGAGGAACAGAAGGGGGCGCAGGTGGAAGGAGAGAAGGAAGGAGGCTTGTCTAGGAAGGGCCTCAGTCTGCAGTGCAGTCTGAGCAAGTCTGGAGGGGGTCAGCACAAGGACGGCCCCTTGGAGGAGGAGTCCTGCATTGGGCAGGAATGGCTGGCCTCTTGTGTCTTCGTCCTCCATACTCAGGACTGGCTGCAAGCAGCTTGGGGAGAAAGTGGCCTCGGCATGAATGCAATGCCACAGGGGATGCCAAAAGTGTGGCATCTGGCTGCTGTCAGCTAATGTCTCTCCTAGCAGCAGGTTCTCTATTGAAAAGAGACCTGGAGCAGCACACCTCCATGACCGCATGGCATCTGTGTGAGTGTTGGGGTTCCAGGTGATAAGTAACGATGCTACCCTCGCCTTCCTGGGATCTCAGAACAATGGAGAGGACAAAGCCATAAGGAAGGTGGAAATCAAAACATCAGCATTATTAGTAATGTCGTTTAGACCAGAGCATCTGGTTGCTGTGCCCCCCCCATAGGCTTCCTAATGCCAGATTTCACTTCTGAATATGAAAGCTTTAACCTCTGTCCCTCATGAGCAAGTGCAGATGTCCTCAGCCACCTGAATAGAGGCGGCCCTGGTGAGCTTATTATATGAAGAGCAGACCAGGAAGCGCCTTCTCTGTGGGCAGGTGGATCTGAGACGTAAGATGGGACTGTTTCCTTCTCCCAGGCTCACCGTAAGGGAGAAGAGGTGGAGAGGAGGTCACAGCCATAGATGTTACCCTTTTTCTGGACAAGGAGCGAGGGATAACCATTTCTGACTGACATAGTAAAGTACATGGAAAGTGCCCAGCGCAGGTCTGGCATCCCATTAGTGATGGCTGTTACTGTCATCACTACGATGATCAGGACCATGATAGGGTGTGCACTGTCCTCACTCACTGAAAGGTGCTTGAAAGTTTAGTGTCATCCAGAGAAGAACACTTAGAACCAGGGAGGAGACCAGCAGCAGTAACTGCCCCTCGAAGGGAAGGTTTGTTAGTATCTAATTGGGAGAGTTGTCAGGACTTCCATCTTCTACTGTATTTCAGTCATTTCGTGGACAGTCTGTTAAGGCCATTCTTGGGAAATTAGTTAGGGCCAAAGCAACAATTGGCTTTTCCCTCACTGAATGGTTCCATGAAATGCATGACCTCCTTCAAGGGTTGTTTTCTGAAGCTCGAGTCTGTTGTTTACTGAGCCTCATGTCATGGGTAATAAACTGTAGTAGTTCTGCCACCTCTAATTAAGAAGGGAATTCTTCCAAGTTACTCTTTCCAGCGTGTGAAAGCTTCTTTTACTTCCTAAATAAGTTGATTTGTTTGAGAACAGTATTTCCTAATCCTATCATGATTTAATAATATGGCTTCACCTCCTTCAAATATGTGGTCTGACAATCTGCTCGAGTCATAAAGATGAAAATATGATAACTGGGGATTTGTTACCAGGGACATTCTGTGGCACCATGTTGACATGTAAATGTTAGTCACCCTCCAGAAACACGGGAATTGTTCTTAAGACAGCCTCAAAGACAGATTTAAAAAGTACCGATTTCTGGGGATGGAGCAAGAAAAAGAGCCACACGCTGGCAGGCAGTGGTGGATGCCTCCGTGATATGGCATTTACTATTTATCGATGTTTCTATTATGACAAAATAACCTATGTACCTGAATTCATATCTGAACATACAGTGTTGCATATGTTCCGTTTCCTGTCATACTATACAGAGTTATAATCATTCTTTCCTACCAGATATACAAATAGAATATTGTATCTCTAGAAAAGGGGTGCTTTGTAATGTGAATCATGAGCCCTTCTCTCTAAATCTTCCTCCAAGTGTAGAGTGATCAATTCGTTTCTAGCTTGGTCATGTCTGTCATATGTTTTTTTAGGAAGAGAAGTTCCTGGTATTTCTATTTATAGATCACTCAGCTTCACACCCCGTTCTCTAGGCTCCGTCTCACTTCTCTCCTCCCTTTAGGGTTCCCTGCCCTGGTCCCTACGATCACAGATCCTATTGCATCCCTCTGCTTACCTTATAACACTCATTCTCAGAAAGGGTCGTAGACAATAAACTCACCTAGATTTTCCAGCATCTATAACCATAATAACTGTATTTAGATCCAGAAGAAGAATTTCAAGAACATATGGTAACATTTTCTCATTCTACAGAATTTTTTAAAAGTACAAACTGCAAATGGTTCTTTAACTTTCCCAAGCCCATGCAGTTTGTTAATGTCACAGTCTCTCTTTCTTCCCCCTCCCCCCCCCCACCAAAACACAGCTTCTGTAATCATTTTCCTTTTTCTTTTCTGGAAATTAGAAGAAGTTTTTTGAAGAACAAAATGTTGTCAGTGTTATAGCCTTGAGTGAAGCATTATTGCTTTAGTAAATGTTTTGCTGAAGTATTAAATTTCAAAATTGAAAATTTTTAAATGTATTTATTTGTATTTTTTTATGCTGTGGACTGTTGGATATAGAGTTTTGTTTTTATTATTTTGATTGAAATTTCATGAAGTGCAGTATACTTTGATTTGACACATTGTAAGACCACACCAATAATGAAATTACTATTAGTTTCAGACTAGTAATTGATTATCTGGTGTCTGATATAAATTATAATGCTATCTGTAAACCAGCAAGGCATGGACAGAATTGTTTGAAAGAAGCCTGGTTCATACCAGTTGCATTAATTCCAACTCTCAATACTTTAGACCAGTTTTGTTCTTACCAAAAAAAATTGAATATCATTATAGAAAACTTAGCACATTGAATAAAGCATGCTTTTCTCACACTTCCTCCTCCATCCTTCAGAAGTAAATCCTCTTGCCGTTCCTTTAGTGAAAGTCTCTCAGGCTTTATTTGTCTGAAAATGTTATCATTTTGCTTTTTTCCTGTAAAGGCAGTATTGCTGGGTAAACATTCAGGGTTGATGGCTATTTTCTTGCAAAATTTTGAAGATATTTTCCCACAGTCTTATCAGTTCTGCAGTTGAGAGTTATCTCTCAGTCTAACTGTTGCTTTTTAGCTTATCTGTCTTTTCTTTCTCTCTGCTCTGACAACCTACTTTTTATCTTTTGTATTCTGTAATTTCACTGTGATGTGCCTAAATATGAATTTCTTTTTATTTTTCCTTCTTAGGATTTGCTGTGCTTCTTGGATCTGGGAATGGGCATCCTTGATTAGTTCTGAAAAATTATCACATGTTGCCTCACCAAAAATTACTTGTCTACTACTTTCTGTTATATATATATATATATAGTCAGTCATTATTTGTAATGCATTTTGCCTTTTTTTTTTCCCTGGGTCTCTTCTGTCTCTGATGCCTTCTGGTTAATTTTTTCAAGTCTGTCATTAAATTTGCTGATTTTCTTTGGGTGGATGCCCTGTAGTGGGATTGCTGGATTAAATGGTAGTTCTACTTATAGCTCTTTGAGGTATCTCCATGTTGCCTTCCACAGAGGTTGTACTAGTTTGCAGTCCCCCCAGCAGTGTATGAGTGTCTATATCCATACCAACATTTATTGTTTTAGGATTTTTTGATAAAGGCCACTCTTAACTGGAGTTAAGTGAAATCTCATTGTGGTTTTGATTTGCACTTCCCTGATAATTAGAGATGTTGAGCATTTTTTCATATGTTTGTTGGCCATTAGTCTATCTTCTTTCTATTCATCTCTATTTAATCTGATGTATAATGCCACTGAATTTCTAATGTCAATCATCATAGTTTTGCTTTTTATATAGGTTTTATGTGGTTCCTTTTCAAATATACCTGGCCATCCTTTTATTTAACTAACACTTAAAATATCTTTAATACTCTGCATCTGAAATTTCAATATCTCTAGTTGGTACAAATCTGATGCTGCACTTTATTGACTCTTCAAACTCATGTTTATGGTTATTTCCTTGTGTATTTTGTCTTTTTGATTATCATGTTCCTTGGATTCTTATTTATGGGTACTTTTTGAACTTTGTTTTAGAGCTTATTTATTTACATTTGGTTTTCTGAGATATCTAAAGATAGCACCTTAGGAATACTTTAAACTACATATTTAGCTTAGAGTTTTGTTTTAGTTTTACTTTGCTTGCTGATGGTCCTTAAGCCTATGTTAGCACATGTATAAGATTGGGAAATTGCAACAGAGATTTTCTTCT